TTTATTAATTATATTTAAATATAAAATCTTTAAAATCAAAAATCAACTACTTACGTATTAAAGAGAAAAAGGTGGTTTGGCAACCCTGTAGGTATATCGTTCCTACCTCTTTCTCGTGTCGTTATGATTTTTAATTTAATCAAAACAAAAATGTTCCTTTTTTAGAAAGTTCCTTTTATTTTCTATTTTATCGGATCAGAAGAGTTCCTAATTTGTGATTTTTTAGTTATTAAAGCATAGCATAGTACATATTTAGTTAGTTTTTTTGGACCCCCCCCCCCCGGAGCTAAATCCTAAATACGCCACTGGGTTCTTGGAGACTTTATATTTTTTCCATACCGAATTAAAATCAAAATGCACAGACTCCATTGCCTGTTCACTAAAGAAGCCCAAGGCCTGTTGCGTTTTATCACAGAAATCTTCGATATGAAAAAAAACTGCATGAACTTTAGGGGTTACACTAATTTCCAGTTCCAGGTAAGTCTTCTTGAAGGCCGCAATAAAATTTTTAAAATCTGGATTTAAAACTTGACCAAAACATGATTTAACAACTACTTTAAAGTCTTCAAAGACTTTCACAAATTTTAGGCAGCCCAGGCTGCAATCTCGTCGTAAGACATCAATTTTATCTAAAAGTGTTTTGCACGCGTTTCCCTTGAAAGCGGGACCGCCATGAGTTACTTCACGTTGAACTTTTGAATGTTTTGCCCATGCCAAGGCTTCCTTTTCAAAATCTATTAACATATGCGTAAACAACGTATTAACAACGCCAAGCATTAGGTGTAATTCCGGTGGAGGAATAATATTTAAAAACGTTTTATCTAATGGAGTTGAGAAAAGCGGCGGATGAATGCAATTTTTGTATTCTTTTGCCTTCTCCTTTAAGGTAGGGTTTCGTTGATGCGACTCGCGGCTGCGGCTTGCGGCTGCGATCGTAGCCGCGCCACTGCTTAGTACAATTTGTGTGTATACGTTTTGGTTGGCGCGAGAGACTGAACACGCCAACCAAAACATATACACACAAATTGTACTAAGCAGTGGCGCGGCTAAGGTCGCAGCCGCAAGCCGCAGCCGCGAGTCGCATCAACGAAACTGTACCTTTACAGCTCCCGCTTTAAGCCAAGCGGAATAATTTTGTAATGTGTTAGTAGTACTTCTTAAAGTGCCACGTTCGCAAAGTTTATATTTTCTGGCGTAACACCATGTACAGGGGAAAAGACTGCTGTGCGACATGATGCCGATTAGAATATTTGCAAGTTTTAAATCAGTTGCAATTGTTCCTTCAAAATCGTAAATAATAATTGCAGACCATAATTTTGACACCTTTTTAATGTTTTCTTGTGAGCATTGCGCTAACCCAAAAATAAACAATTTTTTCACACCTGAGTCTTTAAATCGTTTAGCAGCTATTCCTTCCATGTACTCTTGTCGATGTTTTTCCAATTCCACATTTTCAGTTGATTGAATGGATAAACATATTTTTAAAAATCCTCCACCTCCATCTATTCCAAATTTCAAATGAACCTCAGATGATTGTCGATTTTCCTTAACGTATTCAATGAATCCATCAAGATCCTTGCAGTAAACTACAAGCTCTTTAGCATCAGTCGAAACCTTAGCCTTTATATTCACAAAATCAAAACACTTTATTCCAAAAAAATTATCGACGGAATGAATGTTATTTGAAATTTTCCTCTTCAAGTCGGGTTCGATAACTTTGCGGTTTTTAGTAGCTACTCTGATAACACTTGCAATTCCACAAGTTGTTTTTTGGCTAAGATTAAAATTTGTTTGTATTTTTAAAAAGTCATCTACTGATAGTAGTTGTTTTTTCTGAACGTCATCTTCAGTTCTCTTTGGATTAACAACAACGGTAAGAAGTTGTCCTCCCTTTGATTGAATCAGCGAAAGTGAAGTAGTTTTTAATTTATTTTTTTTATTAATGTTTTGTTTTACTAGTGAAGAAATGACCTGCTGTTGAAATTTTGATATAGATTCTAATAGCTCCTTGTTTAAGTTATCAAATCTTGTTGAAAGATTACATTTATGTGTCTTTCCTCTTGCAATAACAGAAAAACAGGAACTACAACGTTTTTCGAAACACGGTCGTTTAGGATTACCTAAATTTTAAGAAGAAATAGATACGTTGGTCTCAATTAATTAAGGGATCTTATACTTACAGGAGGTAGTAGTATTTAAACTTTCCACTAATATTCCTTTTCTTGGAGGTAAAATACCATTTTTTGTAAAATTACCAATTTTAGGAGTTCTTGCAAGTTTACAAACATGACAATCACATTGAAAATGGGCATTAGATCTTGTAATTTTCTTGAGAGGTCGCAATTCAGAAAAAATTGGCAGTTGTATGCTTTTTTGGATTCCATTTTTTACGCGATATATATCTCTTTTACAACTACTACATAAAGCAAGTGGTAAACGATTATCGTGGACATCGTAATCAAACAGATTTTCTACTTCTTTTTTAAGTTTACCTTGTATCTTAATCATTACTTTAGTTTTTCCGAAACACAGTAAGCAAATCTTTAGTCGATTCTCATCATGAGTTCCTGCGTGGTCTTTGGACATCTTCAAGTAAGTACTTAAGAAAATCATACAGATTAAATGATAGATACAAAATCAATCTGACAGCTACATGACAGTTAGCGCCTACCAAGCTTTGCCGCTTGGAATCGCCAGTGTGCTTGTATATTTGGTTACAATACCTATTTATTATTAGGAAAAAGAAAAAAATACGGTTTTCTAAATAACGGCTAAGCAGATTTTTTCCTACCTGGCATTAAAATAATCAGGAACCATTAACAAAACATGTAAAACAAAAAAATTAGAGGTGCAAGCACCTTTGGGTTAAACTTAATCGAGGCTAGGCGTGGGGTTTTATATGTTAGAATGATTGTCGTGGCGTGGATGTACACTGGTATTCACTTAATCGAAATTTTTATTAACAATTTTTAAGGTGGCAAACCCTTTATTCAAAAATATATAGTGTCAAAAAATGAGCCAAAAATTAATTATTTTTGAAGTCACATGCATAATTAAAATGTCGATGATGAAAATGGAAAAAAGAATTTAATCAATTATTAATGATTTGACAACAATATTTTTATAAAATGTGTATATATTTCAATTTATACACGTGGCGGAAATTGAACTAGTTGCACAGGAACCCCTGAGTATATGTACTTTTACCTAATGTTTCAGGATATCCACGAAGAGCCCATTTTTTTAGAAGCATGGTACCTATTATAGGTACAGGGTTATTCCGTATATTTTGACAGCGCCTACTGAGTTTATTATCAAAAATAGGAAAAGATGTAGGGTTTGTCCTAAGTCGCCAGAAAATGTTAAGTAAAGTAACAAATGAATATCGGAAAGTTAGTTAAAAATACACGGCAACTCTTCAAAGGAATACCCTGTAAATTATATCAAAAATTAATAGATCTTTTTTCCTTGAATTCAAAAATATATATGTTGACATTTGGTTTACCCGTTTTTTAAATATTTGCACTTAAAAAACGTTATTATACCTATTGCCTTACCAATTTGTAGTGCCATGAAAATACAAATGGTTCAAACGTCATTATTTATTATTATTTATTCGGCTGTCAGATTTTCTTTATTCCAACCGTAAAATGGGTTACACAGAAGTTAGTGTATTTTTTCAAGGCAACTACGATTTTTGTAATTACATTATAAGGCAATATAATTATTTTGTTTTATAAATAAAAATAGCATGCCTTTTATATTTGCTTCGCAAAATTTAAACCTATCATCCACGTTTAAAATTTAATTTTTTTTTCGGTTTTTTGAAGTCTGGCTTTTTAAACCAACCTTTTATGGATTCCCCAATTCCATCATGAGAAATTTAATTTAAATTCATCCTCTTTAAAACTTTAAGACATAGCGGCTAGTTTGTGATTTTATCATGGACTTTAACATAAAAATATAAATAAAGGAATTAATAAAACGGAGGTGGTAGAAAAATTACATGTTATACATTATATACATTCAAATTTTATTTAATGAGAAATTTATGAAATTTTTTTTGGCATTGGTTTATTTGTACCTACTTGGGTTAAATACACAAGAATTGTTCTCTTAACTATGCAATATCAAAAACATGTAGGACCATGTGTCAATTTTTTTAATCCATAGTGAAGTATTTTTTAAAATTTTTGCTATAAGTTTGTAGTACAAAACATTAATAGTAGATATAATTAAAAATAAATTTGTATAAAAATACTTGAAAAAAGCAATACTTCAATTCCATCATGAGAAATTTAATTTAAATTCCTCCTCTTTAAAACTTAAGACATAGCGGCTAGTTTGTGATTTTATCATGGACTTAACATAAAAATATAAATAAAGGAATTAATAAAACGGAGGTGGTAGAAAAATTACATGTTATACATTATATACATTCAAATTTTATTTAATGAAAAATTTATGAAATTTTTTTTGGCATTGGTTTATTTGTATCTACTTGGGTTAAATACACAAGAATTGTTCTCTTAACTATGCAATATCAAAAACATGTAGGTCCATGTGTCAATTTTTTAAATCCATAGTGAAGTATTTTTTAAAATTTTTGCTATAAGTTTGTAGTACAAAACATTAATAGTAGATATAATTAAAAATAAATTTGTATAAAAATACTTAAAAAAAGCAATACTTCAATAAAAAAAATACTTAAAATTAATTGAAAAGGATACTTATTTCCTTTAAAGATTGTGTTTTATTTAAAGTCGCTACCTTAATCAGGTCAAGATTTATGATTTTTTTAAAGAAAGACTTTAAAACAGTAAATTACGAAATTTAACTCCCCTTAAAAACACACAGTAAAGGGAGGAGGGAAAAAATACATTTTTGGCTGATTCAGGTGTAATCTAACGATACTTAAAATATTTTTAAAATCCAACACCCTACCCTGCAATCATTTGCCCTTATTTTATGGATTGAACCCTTAAACAAAACAAATGTAGGCAAAATATGGCATACATTTATTTAAATAAAAAAAATGTTTACAAGTTAACAGGGCTTTTTCTTTTTAGGGCTACAAATGCCGCATGTAGGTAATGGCGGAGGTTTGCATGGGTTGCAAGGTGGTTCTGGGCATGGTTCGGGACAAGGTGGTTTGTATTTTGGAATCTTTTTTTTCCTGTGTTTATTTAAAACTGGAGCTTTTTTGTAATCGCAAAGAATACCATTTAAGTTTTCTATGAAAATGCCAACATGATCTTGGTTAAATATTAGTGCAGGTCGGATGGCAATACCTTTTTCACCACAACTTTTAACTAATATACCTAAAAATATTTTAAAATGCATTTTTACTTTTTTAAATAATTGTTTACCTCTGTTTTTTAAATTATTTAAAATTTCATTTCTCATTCCAGGACATTTTAAATCGAATGCAAGGAAAGTTCCCTTTCCTCTAATGTTTTCAATAAAGGGATGATTTTGCTGAAGTTTTACGAGTTGATTTTTAAGACAACACCCCGTGTCGTTTACTGTACACAGTAAATAGTCTTTTTCTATTACGTTTAAAATTGATTCATACATAAAAAGTTTGGAGGGATCTCCCGACCAGGTACTTTGTAGTCTAGATCCGTCTTGTGGACTAAAAAATTGTGATTGATAATATATAATTAAGTATAAATGGAATATTTACTTTAGTTCTATGTTATGAAAAAATCCAGAAAGTTGTGTTTTTTTGCTGAAAGTAACCGCATCTGGAGGTTCGGGTAAATTAATTTGCTCATGACTCCAAAGGGTTCCTGTAGCACCACATCCTGTATTAGTTTCATCTATACAAAAGTAGCAGCAATTTTCTTTGCAGATTTTCTGTAATGTTTTAATAAATTTATCCGATGCTTCATTGTTATTAGAGTCCTAAACAGTAATATTGATTGTTGTGCACATTGCATTTTTAAGGTTTACCTGAATTGGTTCTACAATAACTCCAGCCACTGAACAACCATCATTTCTTCCTTTTTCAATTAATTCTCTAACAGAAGTAAGGCATTTATTATCCTGTTGTTCATTGTAACAAGAAAACTCTTCCAAGGGATACTTGTATTGAGGAAATTTTGCAATGGGCCAATTGAATGCAGGCAAATCAGCCTTGAAGAAAAAAAAATAAAAGGTTAATTATGCAGAATGTTTAACCCTTTACCGGCGTGGCCAGAAATGTTAACACTCCGCCTTCGGCAAAAAATAAAAAGTTTTTTTTAGTTATGCCTAGATAAAATAAAAGGTTCCATTTCGGAAATCTTATTTGAATATTTTTAAAAGAGTAACTTTCGCTCGGAATTTTCTCGACAGATTAGGATTCCTCGAGTTTTGTTGTGAAGTGATTTGTTTTTAGATTTATAAAAGGTCCAAAACCAAAACCAAAACATAAAGCCAATTAAAAATGCTCGCTGCCAGATCAAAAAAAAATACAACAGTTCATACTTCCTAGAGTCCCAGGGACGTCAACGCTGGTCAAGTGTTAAATCTGAGGTGAATTAGTAGTGGAAATACTTATAAACTATAATATTTATATTTTAAAGTAAACAACAATTATTGTTAATTGATAAAAATTGATAACATGTACCAGAGATCATTTTCTAATTATTGTTTTATATTTTTAACCCCCATCTTTTTATGCCAAAAGCATCCCTAAATTTGAACACCCTATATAACAAATATCTCATTACTTTTGTTTTTCCATCGCAATGTGAAGCTGTGAGGACACCCATAGTTTCACTTCCATGGTTAGAACCTTTGAAGCTAAGAATTGACAAAGTGGTAGAACCTGGTTCCATATTTTTGACAGCAGAAGTTATATGAGCTTCGCTGATAGGCTCAAAATTTCTAAATTTTGCCTGGTACGCCATCATCATAGATTTCATTGCTTTTTCGTTTGCACACGCCCCACACATTGAGGTCGTAAGAAACGGTAGTTTTGGGGAAGCCTTAAACAAAAATTAAAATCGACGAGTTTTTTATTCTTATTTATAATAAATGTTTATTAACTTTTAGTGTTGTTCTTAAAGTTTTCAATAATTATTTAAAAGTGTTTAATTTGTTTGAGATATATTTTTGTACACAAGTGAAATCCTATACAAATGAAAGCATTGTCAGCCCTATAGAATCCAGGATTTGTGGCGAAACAACTGGTAGAAATTAACGTTTACCCAGGCCCGTTCCTGGCGAGCGTGCAGTGAGTGCACGCACGCAGGCGCAACATTTTGGGGGCGCAAAATCAAAGAGTCAATCAGTACTTTGTAACGATAAACTTTCTTGCATATAATACTTAATTTGGAGAATTTTTAGGGCACAAGCTTTTGCATTTAATAAATAGATTTGTAGGTATACTATATAAAATAAATTTTAAAACTTTCAACTCTTTTTTAAATACCTAAAACTGCTCTTTATTGTTAATTTTCTTATTTAGGCTGTTTTAGGTTATGTTAAATTTGAATTTGTTTAGTTATTATTTAAATAAGATTTTTTAGATTTTTACTTATTACTTATAATAATTACTTATTACTTACAATAATTGCAGTATCTTGTATTTAGAAATTTGTTAATTTATTGAATTTAGATAATATTTTTTCTTTGTATACCTAAAACTACTCCATTTTAAATTTTAAATACTATTATTCAGATTAGATAATATTTTTTAGATTTTGTTAATTGTTAATTTTTTTTGTAAGTGTATTTATTTGTTTTTTGTACAATAAATTTTTGCAATGTTTTTAAAAACTTTTTTTCATTAATTTTTGCAGTTTAAAATCCTACTAAAAAAATTAAAAAATCCCACGTATTTCCAACGTTTTATAATTCAAAAATCCCACCTATTTCCAACGTTTTATAATACACAAAACCCACGTATTTCCAACTTTTTTTAATACATTAAATCCCTCATATTTCCAACGTTTTATAATACGTAAATCCCACGTTTATAATAACATTAGAAACTATCGTTATCATATAACGTTATAAACCGGGACTGAAATTATACATAAAAGTTACGTTGTTTCTACGTAAAATTTGTACTAGGGATGTCATTGCTTTTTCATCACGAAAATACTTTTTTGGTCAAAAAGAACACCATGAGTTTACCCTGCCTACACTTTTTTGTGTTCCCTAAAATAAAAAGAGAACTTTAAAAGTTCGTCGAGTTACGAGCATCGAAGCTATATAGGGATAGGAAGAACTTCTGGACAAATGGAAATAATTTTGAATTAAATAATATTGATGTAGGCGTATTAATACCATTGTCCTAAAAAAAAGCGGAAATTTACGATATTTCCCGTACGAAATTATACCTAAAACAAATTAATATTGTAGTTAAAGTCAATTAAAAAATGAAAAAATATAAATAATAATCCTTTAGTACCTATGTAGTATACTATAAACGGTTTTTATTATTTGCCCATTAAAGTACTTACTAATTCTATCAGTTTTTTTATTTTAGAAACCCAAAAAGTGGCGGGATATTTTTCTAAAGCCGGTAGGTTTACAAAATGAATCTAAAATACGAATTTGTAAAATTTTTTCTGAACGCGATTTATATTATTACCAAATTTTCAGGAGTAAAAAACATTTTGGTTATTTTTGGATGGTTGTAACCAAGTGGTATAGTTCCGTTATTCATGGTTAAATCCAAAAACGTATTACCATCGACATCAACTAGATAGTTTCCTATTGAATTTTCGTAGTTTATAAACAAATCTAGGCAAGATACGTTCTATAATATTAAAAAGATGTAGAAATGTATTATTTATGTGATTACATTACACAATTTAAATTACCGTATATGCTGTTAATATTTTAAACAGTGTTTAATAAACACCCCCGCACAAATATGCATAAAATCTGAAGTAACTAAAATAAAAACCTCTTTTTTAAACATAAATATCTTCTTAAAAGCTCAGTAGGTAAAAGTAGGAGGTTTAATATTTAAAATTGTATACAAATTTGTACAAGCAGATCATTAATTAGACGAACAATTGTTCGTCAGTTAAGATAAAATATAAATAAAATGATTTTAATTTATAATTATATTTACTTGATAACAGCTCATTTCATTCATTAAGTTGGTAGAACATGGACCAGGAATGGGGCTTAGAATACATGGTCCTTCCGGTTCTGTAGTGGTTGAAAAACATCCTACAAAAGAATCGTGCTTCATTTTTACATTTGAGTAGTAAATATATTTATTGGAAAACCCAAAAGATTAATTAGAAAAACTTACGAAATTTTGGGACCTTCAGCCCTCTTAGCCACATTTTACTATAATTTTGAATAGAATTTCCAAATTTTAATATGTAAAAGTGAAATCAAATGTTGACGTTATTTCATATTTTTTCACCACTACCTTTCAAGTTATCATTATTGTATTTGCCAAAAAACAGTATATTTGATTTTGAACCTATTATTATTTAGAATTTGACACAGAATGTCAATAATAAATGTTTATTAAAAATAAATTATCTTTTATCTATGAAATAAATAAATCTACACACGATCGTGAAAAAGTGTGTTTAGGGGCTCTCATTCCCAATGTATATTACTTTTTTAGAAAAGATCCGCGGATCTTTTTTTATTTGTATTTATTTAACGCGTTAAATAAATACAAATAAAAAAATTCTTAATATACTTAAAATATTTACCTAGGTACTAATAGGTACTATGATATTTTTAGACTTCAACATTTTTTTTTAGAAAATTGCACAATTAACAAAAAATCAACTAAAGTTTTGGAGTTTTGGTTGATAGTTAAATTTTATATTAAAGTTGCTGTTTATCGTAACAACAACAAGTTGAAAAGGAACAAGCAAATATGAGTATGAGTATAAGAGACGTATAACCGGCCCCATTGCCTCCTCACTCCCGGGCCCCGCACAGGCCTATGTTTACTTACGCCGATTGTTGTTCGCCCCCCGCAACTGCACTGCTTCACGCGTGTTTGTTGGGATATCCACCCTTAATTTATTTGCTATTGGTTTCAATAGGGAAAATACACATAAATGTAGAAATTACTTTTTTCCCCATAGGACCCCATAGGTTTTAATAAAAAAGTTTCAAATGTTTTACAGTTGCTCTATAGGGATATCCCTATATATCTATCCTTCATTGAGTTATTTGCTATCGGTCTCAATAGGGAATATGTAAAAGTTATGGTGTGCCTATAGATAATTTCCTATACATTTTCTATCGGGCCGTATCCGGAAAAAAAACGTGGACAAATGCACATATTGAATCCGGTAGCGCCCGATAGATTATATTGTATAGGTCTATACTGTATAAAGGAGGAAGGACGGGAGGGATAGACATTTGTTGGTGTTTGGGGGACAATTATGCCGACTTAAATCTAAGTACGACGCGGAATCTTCCTAGACCAGGCAATTAGTATTACTCCAAACATTTGGGATTACTATTTGGAGTTGGGGAGTTGTTATTTCGCTGCAGGGGTATAGTTTTCTAGTCGTGGTCTACGTTTTGTTCATTATCGTCCTTGTCCGTGTCCTGGTCAGATTGTTCCTGCACTTGGTAAAGTGTGTCAGTTGTTTTTTTATTTTATTTTTATTGTTGCTTAGTTGCTCCCAACTGATCTTGTTAATTTGTGAGAAGTGAATTTTCTCTGCTAACGTGTCATGAAACGTGAAGCATGGTCTCCTATAGTCTTGCAAAAAAAAGCTTTTGGTGACTTTTTTTTGGGTTGGGATCATAGAGAATTAGTATATACTAATTCTATATTCTATATATATTAGGGTGATTCATTTCCGCAAAGTTTTTGTTTTTTTTCGGTGCTCAAGCAAAATATTAATCTACCTATAGAAAAAAAAAATTTCACCAAGGTAGAGCTCTTAATATCAATTTTAAGTACTTGCAGTTTAAATTTAAAGTTTTCCCATTTAAAATGCATGTAAAAAAAATGGTTTTTTTTTCAAATTTCTAATGCTTACCCACCTTTGACAATATTGCAAATCGGTTTAATACACCTTATGGGGAATTTCACGCTCTTTAAAATTGCTTTTGAGTTTTTTTTTGTAACTCGCATTGGTTCACCAGTAGGAGTCGTCAAAGGACAGTTTTTGAAAAAAATCTTTTTTTTTTTTATTTTTTCGAGCAAATTGCCAAAAGTAGTGAGAAAAAAGGGCTGATTCATAAAAAAAAAGTTATCCAACCAATATTTAATGAATTTACTGCCATTTTTATAACTGAAAACGTAAGAAATTGATAAATACCAACCTATAATGTTATTTAGATTGATTTTTTCTATTTATTATCATTATATTTCCCTCACTCATAATGAATATGAAAACAACACATACATATTTCAAATTTCGCTTCAAAAAATTAAATAATCTTCATTTATATTTTTTTGCTATTTTTTTATGAATTTATCTGTTGTTTTCATATTCATTATAAGTGAGAAATTAATAATTTTAAAAAACTTCTTAGTGTAGGGAAATATAATGATAATAAATAGAAAAAATCAATCTAAATAACATTATGAATTGGTAATTATCAATTTCTTACGTTTTCAGTTATAAAAATGGCTGTAAATTCATTAAATATTGGTTGGATAACTTTTTTTTATGATTCAGCCCTTTTTTCTCCCTAATTTTGGCAATTTGCTCGAAAAAATAAAAAATAAAAAGATTTTTTTCAAAAACTGTCCTTTGACGACTCCTACTGGTGAACCAATGCGAGTTACAAAAAAAACCTCAAAAGCAATTTTAAAGAGCGTGAAATTCCCCATAAGGTGTATTAAACCGATTTGCAATATTGTCAAAGGTGGGTAAGCATTAGAAATTTGAAAAAAAAAATATATTTTTTACATGCATTTTAAACGGTAAAACTTTAAATAGTAAGTACTTAAAATTTATATTAAGAGCTCAAACTTGTTGAGAATTTTTTTTTCTATATGCAGATTAATATTTTGCTTGAGCACCGAAGAAAACAAAAACTTTTCTCCCTACTTTTTGCGGTTTGTTAAAAAAAAAATTTAAAAAAAAACGATTTTTTTCAAAAACTGTCCTTTGACGACTCCTACTGGTGAACCAATGCGAGTTACAAAAAAAACCTCAAAAGCAATTTTAAAGAGCGTGGAATTCCCCATAAGGTGTATTAAACCGATTTGCAATATTGTCAAAGGTGGATAAGCATTAGAAATTTGAAAAAAAACATTTTTTTTACATGCATTTTAAATGGGAAAACTTTAAATTTAAACTGCAAGTACTTAAAATTGATATTAAGAGCTCAAACTTGTTGAGAATTTTTTTTTCTATATGCAGATTAATATTTTGCTTGAGCACCGAAGAAAACAAAAACTTTGCGGAAATGAATCACCCTAATATATTCTGTAACAAGTTTGGAATTCGGCATATTGCGCTCGAGTGAAAAGTTGGTCACACGAGCCCAGGGCGAGTTTGACGATAATGGTTTATGGGCGGAATATGCAATTCCAATTTTTTTTCTATGTTTCCCAAAAATACCATACTCCCATTACGGATTATGGCCGTTCTAATATCAATTTTTAATGTGGAATAAAATATATTCCTTAAAGTATTACAGAATGAATTATTCTCTCACCAGATGACGGAATAAACACTGGTGTTTATTATCTTTTTAGACCGATCCAACCTCACTTTCTCCCAATTAAATTATTTTTCCATGGTATTTTTGGAAACGTAGAAAAAGTATGGTCCAAAACACATTTGGAATTGCTTATTTCAAACTTGTTATAGAATATTTATATATTATTTCTATGGTCGACATACATTCAAAATACATCATGGATAAGAGATACATGCATGTATACATAGGGTTGGGAAAATTTCACTTTTTGCTTGTACTTGAAATTTCACTTGAAATTTTCACGACATTTATGAAATTTATTAAAATTTCCTAAATGTCAAAAATTTCATGAAATTTATTGAAACTTTCAATAAATTTCAATCACTTTAAGTGTAATATACATATTAATATTGAAATAAGCCCACTTGGTGACCATGGCAAATTGCCTCTCTTACCTTCTACTCCTCTATGGGCCCCTGCACCAATAATATAAATAGTAAATAATATGTTTACCACAAATTTTTTTTTAAATTACTAAAACTAAGAGAGATATAGCACTTTTTGGTAAGCTAATAAGATTGTGCCACTTTCATTGTTTTATATTTATATATATTTATTATTTTTATATATTTTACTGAAATTTTACAAAAATTTAAGAAACTTCATCAAAATTTTATGAGCCAAAGGCATTTTTATCCGTTTTCCGATACAATTAAAGCAAAAGTAACAATAATTACTTATAGTGTATTCAAATCTAAGCCGAACTAAACAAAAACGCCCAGACGCTTGATAACTCGTTCTTATTGGTCGATTCGGAATCTGTTGTAAATTATTATTAAAGGTCCCAGGGGAGGCCGCATGTGAAATTTATGCGAAATTTTCAGTAAATTGCGAAACTTTCAATGAAATTTCTGAAAGTTCCACAGGCAATGTTGAAATTTTCGAATTGAAAACTTCATTTGAAATTTTTAAAGATTTCACTTTTCCAACTAAATGAAATATTTCAAGTTTGAAACTTTCAAAGTTGAAATTTTCATTTGAAAATTTCAACTGTCCCAACCCTATGTATACATGTCACCTTATACATTGAATTTGTTTGGTTTTAACTTACACTGTCGCAGGAACTCTGCAACCAGTATAATTGCAACCGGCTTGACGTTTTAAATGTTAATATAAATAAATAATTTTTTAACATAAATTTAAAAACACGGTTATATAAGTAATTCTAGTATGAATTTATGCTGTGGCTTCTAACGTCACTAAAAGCTTGTCTTTTTCAGATTTTTCTTTAGGGCGTTATTTTTTAACAAAATTTTGTTTACACATGTATGTATCCAGCATTTTATTTTGAATCGAAATATGTAAAAACGCATACTGTGTTTCATTATAAAATAAAAAGTTAAGACCATTTCCGGTGAAACCGGAAGTGATAAAAATATGTTTTATATGTCAAAAAGTTCTAAATTACACTTTATAAACGTAACCCCGGTTTTATGACCCTAGATAAAATACCAAATTTTTGAGATGAACCACGAATTTACTAGGAAACCACATTTTCATTAAAAAAATAATAATTCCGAAACGACGAATTTAGCCAACTTGGGACTTTTGTTAAAAGTTGTTCCTATTCCTAACTTCAAATAAAAAAAATATGAAGTATAAAAAAATGTGACAATGTCTAAATTTTGACCTTAATTTTTTTCCCTTTTTAAGAAAAATCAATAAAACAAAATTGAGTAAATTTACTTAATTTTTTTGGTATGAAGTAAACATTTACATACAA